AAATGGAGAGAAAATGTTTTGAGAAACGATGTACAAATGCGCTTTACACAATTGATGTGTGTATGGATTGGGATAACGGTTGTATGAGCCCCTAATAAAATGTTAAAAAAGAAAAGAAAAGAAAACAAAACAAAACAAAAAAAGAGAAGAAAAGGAAAATTGAATTAGTGGACCTGAAGGCAATCCTTTCAACTACAATTGATGAAACAACAACACCAAGATGGAATCCAAAGAGAGCTGAGAGAGCCCAGGCTTACTGCTTGGGTGGAGGCTAGGGAAACCCATGTGAGACCGTGGCCCATAGTCATTCTCTTACATCTGGAAATGAAGTCCCCCCATGGCTCAATTTTCAGGTGAACAATAGACTCTAAGGAGAGCAAGAACATTAGTGAGGTACACATACCTTAGAAGAATCAAACTCTTGGCAGCGTTTACCCAAGGACAACATTCAGAAGGGTTAGAAATGAAGGAGGAATGGACACAGGAAACAGGGAGAAAGTGGAAGTCCATTGAGGGGATTACAATGAATAAATTAAAACAAATATATGAGTTTTAGAATACATAAATGATTATCTGCTCTGTACTTTTATCCAATTCACAATAAAAAATTAAAACAAAAAGAAGACGTATAGCCAGTATGCTCCTTGGAAGCAAGGATGGCAATTTCTCATGTATTTTGCACATCCTGGAAAAGGACACCATGCTTCTGGTCAATCAAGAAGACCCTCAAGGCAATGGATTGACACAAATGGGCTCAACATAGCAACAGGGCTGAGGATAAGGCAGGACCAGGGTTTTGTTTTGCTGTACATCGGATCGCTATGAGCAGGGACCAAAATTGACCACATCTAACAACAAGAACAGTGTAACGGTTTGAATTTTGTTCATTTTGTATATTAAATAAGACTCTTCTATTCCATACAAAATATGAAAAGAAAAGAAGCAAGGATATGATACATGATGTTAGGGAAAGAGGAAACTCAAAGAATATAAAATGAAGATGATAATGCAGGAAAGGGGAGGGATCAAGGAAACAGAAAACAAAATTGCAATAGAGAAGATGAAAAGAGACAAAAGTTCTTCACGGAAATGAAAACGCTGGTAAGATTAATCAAGAGAAAAGAGAGACAACAGATGTAATATTAGGAAAAGAGGAACAGAATTACAGACGGAGTAAAGACTCAAACTTTATGCCACTAAGTTTTGAAACTTACAAAAGTGCCAAATGGCCACAGAATGGAATGAGTTATTTAAAACGGCTCTTCTTGCCGGGGCCTTTGATACTTCCACAAATGAGATGACTAGAGCTCACTGCCATTAGCTTTGTCTTGGTGGTTTTAGATCGTTTAGTATGATTTTTTTTTTTAAATAATAAAGGCCTGGGATTTGGAAAAGAAGAAGACAAACAGATTTTTCTAAAATGGTTTTTATTATCCACACAGAAAACTCACTGCAATCTATGTATTAATTACAAGAAATAAGAGAATTTTAGCAAGGGAGGTGGCTAATATTTCAAAATGAAACAAACATTCAATTTATAACTATATGAAGAGTAGCTTTGGGGAACCCAAATCATTGTATTTAGATAAAGCTGCTGTAGTTGGAAAGTTTAGTACACAAGATCCAAAGGAAAGCATATGAACTAGAAGATAAGGCTGGAAAAGAACAGGAGGAAGAGATGGTAAAGTGTTCAATTAAAGGCTAAGGAGGCTGTTCCTGATGCTGAGGCTAATGGAGAGTCACCGAGAGTTTTTGAAGATGGGAGTGTTAAGTTGGAGGCCAAGGTTTTAGACTTCTGTGGCAGTGCTGAGGAAGGACTGCACAGGTCAGAGACTCAAAGCATTGCAGGTTACTGCCATGGTCCGAGTGAGAGATGACGAGAGTCTGCCTCTTCCTAGAGTCCTGAGACTAGAAATACACGTACACAAAACGATCACAACACCCATTAAGTCTGTAAGATTCCTAAGCTTAAAAGGAGCGTTAGTATGACAGAAACAATTACATCTCTCTAAATCATGGAAGTGAAAAACAGAGCGAGAGATTAGTATGCTCTAACCTAGTAAGATGTAGTGGAATAAATAGAAGCATCAGCTTACTTTTTGATACCTCCTTAGGTGATAGCACAGGGCAGGGCTCACCAATCTTCTTTATCCTAAACAAAGTATATATTACCATGAATCACTTAAACATGTTTCGTACCATAGTCCCTTCCACATCAGCCTCGGTTCTATTAACTTTCAGATACAACTCGTATGCTTTCAGTGAAACTCGTTTTCTTGACACTTGTTGAATGACATCACCTGGAAATGAAATAAGTAGTAAAGAAAGGACATTCCTTCCATTTGAACTAATCCCATCTGAAGTGGGTGTGAACCAGCTCCAAATCTCAGGTCTTGCTAATGCCTTTTACCAGAGGATGAAAGCGATGTCTAATTTTTTTTCCTCCACACAGTTTTACCATAACTCTCACGGGTCATGATGTAGGTAAGGCTAATCGGAAATGAATCCAGAAGTGAATGAGCCGGACAGTAGCCATACTTCACTGTGTATTTTCTACCTATGAAGCACTAATCTAAATCTGCCAGGAGTTAACTCTCATTCATTCGGAAATCAACCTAGATGAGGAGGGGAATGCATCATGATGAATCTGCAACGGATGAGATGATCTCTCATTAAAATCTCAAAATTCACGTAATTCTATTAAACTTTAAAAGTCAGTCGCAACTTTTAAATACGCTTCACTTCTAGGATTATTCTTATATTTAAAACCAAATATTCACATGTGGAAGGAGAAAGAAAGAGTGAGGGATTGTACACAAAATGAACAAAACATACGTCCTTCCCTGCTTTGCCAACTGTTCTTTCACAGGGCACTGTGCAGTACACAGAAGGGAATAAAAAGTTTGTAGGCAGCTCGCCATGGTCTCATTAGAATGGCTAAAATAAAGGCCTTTATGTTTGTCAGACACTTCCCATCCATTACATGACTTAGCCACCACAATTGCACTTTAAAAAATAAAGAAATGCTTATTATAACACCATAAACTATATTCAAATTAACCTTCATTAACTTAAGTAAATTTACCCTCAAGTCAATGTGAAATGGTTAGCAATCATTTCATAAACAGCCAAATAGTAAGTGGGGGAAAAAAGTGGGGTGGAAAAAAAGGAGGATGCAAAATGAAAACTCAATATTAAGAGGCAGTTGAGCTAATTCAAAGGTACTGTCTGGGTTTCCAGTTTCTTTAAGATAATCATATACCTCAAAGGCCCTGTAAAAGACTGGTCTCCACTGGCCCAAAGTCCATTGCCAGGGGCAACCCTCTGCGCTCCCCCTCCCGCCTTCCTCTCAGAGCCTGTGATTATGAGAGAGTGGGAACTGCCAGAGACTCAAGGATGGAGATAAGGCTGCAAGTTGTCCTTGCAGTAGGTTTGAGAGCCATGCTTCCAACTGTCCCTTTTTTCTGCATCCCTGACATTCTTCCTTTTGGAGTTTGGGCACAAATGGTTAGGTGCTAAGTAACCAACTGATAGGTCGTTCCATCCTCCCCAGAGGAGCCTCAGAAGAAAGGTTTCTAAAGAGTCACAATCAAGAAAACCCTATGGGGCAGTTCCACTCTTTGTCCATGGGTCATCATGAGTGGGAATCAATTCCATGGTAACTGAGGGTGGTGAATCTGCTCTACCACCCCCTCCGACTTAGCTTTATTTCTTCATCAGCTCACTTCGGAAAGAGCAATTTGGCTTCTTATATCTTTATTATTTTAAATCTACATTCAGAAAAAATTTTAAGTGATATTTATAAAAGCAGAAGAGTCAAAACCAAAAAACCAAGCTCAGGGTGGCTGAGTCAATGCTGACTCAGAGCGACCCTACAGCACAGGGTAGAATCACCCCCTTTGAGTTTCTAAGATTGGAACTGCTTATGGGGCGCAGACAGCCCTGTCTTACTCCAATGGGTGCAAGTATTTTTTTAATTAAATACATCTTTTTTAAAAACCCAAACCTACTGCTATCAAGTTGACTCCGACTCCGACTCCCAGGACTTTATAAAACAGAACAGAACCGCCCCGCTGGGTTTTCAAGACGATCAGTCTTTACCGGAGTAGGTACCGTCCTCTGTGTCCCGCATAGCCAACTATGACACCAGGACTATATGAACGGAATGAACAGGTGTTGATGGGTAATATTAAGTTTAAAAAGCTAAAATGAGAAAAGGTTACTGCATATGTACACAACACACACATGCTACTTTTTCTGCCCATTGTGCCCGACTTACCCGGAACCAATGCGGTATTTTTATCAATTCTCACTTGAAGTAGGGAGGTAGAGGGCAGTAACTTGACAGTGGAGGACTTAAAACTGTCTAATCCCTGTCCTTTCTACTTAGTTTACTTGTTAATCAAGCCCTTTTAAGATTACCGGAGCACCCTTATGAAGCCATCTCGTGAGGGCAGGGACAGGGCACAGTTAGCACCAGGGAGGAACTGCACCTTAGTTGTGTAACAATGTTGTGAGAGGATGAGCCAGGAGCAACCAACACCCACCAGCGTGTGAAATGGTGGAAGAAAACACTAGCACTCTTACACAATTGCTGTGTGTATGGATTGTGATAAGAGTTGTATGAGTCCCTAATAAAATGATTTAAAAAATGGTAACATCTAGAAAAAGAAAACACTAGCAATCAAAACAGAAATGGCCCAGTGGGGAATCATCAGATCGCTGTGCTTCTTTCTCTTCCCCCACATTTCCTGCAGAGTTCTTCATTGACGTCCATGATTTAGGTAAAAACTATCTACTTGCCCTCTTAAATATGTTCTCATCCTCTCACGACAGCCTCAGGAGGTATTTCCAGAGCACTTGACACGAATGACACTTTGGTGGAAAACTCGAATGTGGTGGTAAACTCCAAGACTGGGTCCTGTGTATGTTTAGATTCTTTAAAGTTCATTAAGGAGCCCTCCCTGGTAGTGCAGCAGTTAAGCATTCTCCGTTTCAACCTGGATGGTTGAGCCCACCAGCAGCGCTGGTCCCAGAAACACTGCAGCCTAGGAAGGTCCATGGTGGCAGCACTCCTCCACCATATAAGGTCGCTGTGAGGCAGGCTCACCTGGAAGGGGCACAGCAAAGTTCTTTGTGACAGGACGATATTATGAAAACATAAATCTTCCTTTGAAAAGAGCTGTGACCCCTGGATGCTATAAAGGTTTTGTTTGCTGGTTTTTTTTTTTTTAAGCTGGCAAAATGAATAAATGTCAGACAAGCAAGAAATGCCTGGGGTAGTTCATAATCTGGTGCCAATTTGGGACTTGAGAGAATTCAGAGTGAAGGGGTGGAGTCTAGTCTGTCAATCGGATCATAGCCAATGAGGCCTCTGTGTGGGCCTGGCCTTCTCCTGAGAATTCTGGGAAATCTGATTTTTACCTCCTTGGAGGCAGGAGATACACACTCTCTCTCTCTGCTCACTCCCTGAGAGACACTTTACTGACAAGACAGATGTCACTACACTGATAGAGGGAGGAGCCACGTGGAGACCCCTGCCAGTGCTGAAATGCTTCTACTGGCACTGGATCCAAAAGACTTTGCACCCACTGGCCTGTGATCATCCTGTATTCAGCTTCATTGCATGTTTTGTGTGAGTCTGAAGAGGACTCCATAGATTGGTATTGGACATATGGGCTGATATTGGACTTATGGACTTGATCTGGACTTGGCTGGGATGTTTTCTCAATATTCAAACTACTGCTCTTGAATATAAACCTGTTTCTTATTCACATGAGTGTCCGTGGATTTGCTTCGTCTACCCGCACTAACACAATGCCTGGTAAATAAACCAATGAATACACTAAATAGATGATTTAGGAATAAGAGGGTAAGTCAAAAAGTATTGCTACAAAATTAGAGAAACTTTTATTAGACAACAATAACAACATGTGTGGGTTTCCATCTCTCTAACCCGCTGCTGAAAAATTCTGTGCTCCTCCTAAAAATGTACCCCCTCCTCATTTTGTACCCCATCAAAATGCCAGTTCCTTTCCCATGTCCTCTGAGTTTGGGAAACGAGGAGAAGTCTGAAGGGACAAGGTCAGGATGGGAAAGGCTTCACAGGACATTTTTCACAGGACAGCCCTACCTCTCTTCAAAGAATGAGCAGGTATCCTGTCTTTTCATTTTATTTTTTAAATTAGTGACATTTTATTCTGGAATTCCAAAACCAGCCCCGGGTGCTTCACGTGATTTTAAACGGCAATACTGTCCACTGTCGCCTGACCAGCATTGCGCTGTGCCCCACGACAGCAAGTTGGACCAGCACCTCAGCTGTCCAGAGGAAAGTGGTTGGTGGCAAGAATATGGAAACCCAGCACGTTTTCAATGTTCGTTTTATCCAGGATCACTTAAAATGCATAATTTATAAAATTACAATTTTTGACTAAACCAGTAAAGAATGTGAAGGAAGATGTTTATTAATAGATATATAAGGATCAGCACAGCGTGTGATGGGAAATACGAAAGGCAAAGGCTACATTTTATTCGTTTTAAGATAAAACTTGTGTGATTTAACTTATACTTTTTTTTCCCATGATTGACAGAGTTTAATCACAGTTGACTATGATCTCCATCATGGTAGCTATTTGCTTTCGCCTCTTTTTCTTGGATTTTATTTTCTTATTATATGTTGATCTTGTTGCATGAGTAAACACTTTATAAGAATTCTCATGTAGCTGAGAGAAAGTACTGAGAGTCTCATGAAGGTCAAACATGAAAATGGACAGAAAGAAAGTACAAAGAAATAGAGGAAAGAACTAGGAGGCAAAAGTCATTTATAGAGGTATAAATATAGGCATGCTCATCTGTAAATATATTAATATATAACAACAGAGATATAGATCTATGTACATATATTTAAATGTTAAGTACCTTAGTAGCAGACAGGCATTGGATCTCTACTCAAGTACTCCCTCAATGCAAGAACACTTTGTTCTAATAACCTGGCAATACTCTCTTACTTCCCCTTGTATAGAGATCCTTTAGCAAATAGTTGTTTTCTTTTAATGACATGCCAAATCAGTCCAGTTTATAGTAGCTTATTGGCATGCCAATCAGTCCAGTTTATAGTGTTTATAAAAATGATATACATTGCCGGTGCTTCACGTCAGTGGGACTTTTCTGGCTAACACACTCATTCTTGATAGCCAATGCGGAATCCTATTGAGGTCCGTTTTTCACTCAGAATCCCCCCTCACACATCTTCCAGTCAAACTAGAAGTGAAGCACGAGCTCTGTACTTAGGCAGCAGAGAGCTTTTAATATTGCACAGTCTGTCTTTCATTTATTTATTTATTTTCATTGAGGAAAATGCCAGTGTCCTCATGGGTGTGATCTAAATTAGGGAAATATCGTTAGTTTTTTTGTTTTCCCTCTAAAGCGTTTGTGGCAATGCCACATAAAAGCAGAGTAAAGTGCGTGTTGGCCAAACTGAGAAACACTGCTAACTTATCACAGGGAGAACACTGCTGGCTTTGATTAAGAGATGAATTCCCTTATGGGGAGAAAAATTAGCGGGCCAGAAACCATCACAATTCACTAGCCAGAAAAACCTCTATACAGGAAGTAGTATTGCTACAAGTAAATATTCAACAAGAGAGTAAGGCCTACCTGACCACAGGCATCTCGATCTCAGGACTCAGCAGTCTCCGACGAACACCAAGTGGAGTTGAACTCATTTTCTGGCAACTTTGCAATCTGGGTAAGTATGGCATTTTGACACATTCCTTGAGCTCTTCTAGACCAAAAGCTGTGGTGTATTTTAATTTAAGATATTAGCATAGTTATATGTACTTTTCATTGATTAGATTCTTTTGCGGCATATTAAAATATACTAAAGCAGTCATTTAAGTAAAGAAATGTAGCCGTTGTAATTTAGCCCTTTGCCCAAAAAAGTACTAATAACCAAACCCATTGTGAGTTGATTCCAACGCATATATGACAGCGGTTCTCAACTGGAGGCCGTGACCCTGTTGGGAGTCGAATGACCCTTTCACAGGGGTCGCCCAATTCATAACAGTAGCAAAATTACAGTTATGTAGTAGCAATGAAAATAATTTTATGGTGGGGGGTCACCACAACATGAGGAACTGCATTAAAGGGTCATGGCATTAGGAAGGTTGAGAACCACTGCTATATGAGGTTTCTGTGATTATAACTCTTCCCCCACCCACCTCCCCACCGATTATAACTCTTTATGGTAGCAGACAATCTCCTCTTTCTCCTGCAGAGCGGCGGGTGGATTTGAACCCATGACTTTGTGTTTAGCAGTGCAATGCTTACCTTTCCATTCCTATTGAAAGGGGGTATAGGGAGCAATTGACTCGTTTAAAGGCTTGATTACAAATTAGAACAAAGAAAAAGGAGAATAATTAGAAGAAAAAATCTTCCACATTCATTATCCTCTATCTTCATTAGTTTACTAATTAGAATTCCCAGAATATTGGATATATCCCATCGAAGTAGAGTGAAAAAGCCCTTTCAAGAGTCTTGCGTTGTTTGATGGTTTTAATCTTTCCACCTTCCTGCTTGTCTATAGATAATCAAGAAGTGTAAGCACATGATTATTGGCGCTAGCAAAGGGTTATACCAGAATTCCACTTCAAATATTGATTGGACATTTTACTCCATACAATTCTACACCAAATCTATACACAATAAATTGAAGCATCAAGATTACTTCTTCTACTGACCTTACATATGGTCAGAAATAGGGATTATCAAACTGTAAGATAAAACAAAGATGAAGGAAATGCCTGAAACAAAATTAGGAAGGTGGAAAACAAGTCTAGCCCCTGAAAAAAAAAGTAAAAAACTTCAACAAAACCCACTGCCTTCTCATCTATTTGACTCACAGTGACTCTTATAGAATAGGCCCTGTTTCTGAGGTCCTAAATCTCTACAGGAACAGAAAGTTCATCTTCCTGATGCAGGGCTGGCTGAGGGTGGGTTTGAACCACGGACGTTGACCTTGGCAGCACAACCCATAAGCCACTATGACACCAGCTCTCCTTTTATACACAAGTTAAAATGTCATTTGCAATCTTACTTATTTCCTCTTTTAAAAAAAAGAAAAGATTTCTCCTAATCAAAATATACCTAGATTAAAAAAAAATTTTTTTTTAAATACCTAGATTGTCTTTGGGTGACAGGAACAATGGATCAAATTGGCGTCTTCTATCTTTAATTGTAACATAGTCCGGGTGTTGAAAAGCAGCCCTGGCACCATAGTAGGCTGTTCATTGGCATGCTAACCATAAGGTCAGTGGCTCAAACCCACTAGCTCCACCATGACAGAAAGATGAATCTGTTTTCTCCCGGAAAGGCTTAAAGCCTCAGAGCCCCCTGCGGGCCATTCTACTCTGCCCCTTATGCATAGGTATCAACTTGAAGGCAGTGGGTTTGACTGGTGTCTTTCAAAAAAGTTGAAAGAAAAAAAAAAGTAAGGCAGGTATATTAAGGAGCCAAATAATTTACTATTTTTTTAAAGAATTACAATGCCCATTAATAAAACTGAAGACAGAATCCAGAATAAACAAGAAATACAAATAATTATAGGCTGAAATTGAGGAGTAAAAACTATTAATACACATACCTCATGTGTCAACATTCTCAAAATAGTATTTATTGAGCAAATATAGGATACTAAATACACATAACTCACTAAAAAATAAAGTTTTGGCTGGGCTTATTAATAGAAAAAAGTATAGTTAAAGTTTTGGCATTCCTTAAAATAAAAAAAAACAAAAACATAAGGTCATTACAAACAAGCATTCTATTTATGAAAAGTTGTTTAATCCAACATAGTGTTGCACTGAAGATCAAGGGGAGTTGCTTTTTAAAATGTGTTTCTATTATAAATCACACAGTTCCATTAATTAATCTTAATTTGTTTTCATGTTTTTTTCTATAAACTTTAAAATATAATTCTTATATAAATGCTACCAAAATTTTAAGTCTTGATTGTTTAAAAAGTACTCCCTCAATGCAAGAACACTTTGTTCTAATAACCTGGCATTCCATGATGCTCACCTTCCCAACACGATCATTGAAGACAAAATGGGTGCATAGCAAATGTGGTGACGAAAGCTGATGGTTCCTGGCTATCAAAAGATATAACATCTGGGTCTTAAAGGCTTGAAGATAAACAAGTGGTCATCTAGCTCAGAACAACAAAGCCCACATGGAAGAAGCACACCAGCCTGTGTGATCATGAGGTGTCAATGGGATCAAGTATCAGGCATCAAAGACCCAGAACAAAAAATTCTATCGTTGTGAATGAGGGGGAGTGCAGAGTGGAGGCCCAAAGCCCATCTGTAGACAACTGGACATCCTCTTATTAAAGGGTCACAAGGAATTGATGAGCCAGTCAGGGTGTAGTATAGCACTGATAAAACATAACAACTTTTTTTCTAGTTCTTTAATGCTTTGTCATCCACCCCTCCCACTCTAATGATCTCAATTCTACTTCATAAATCCCGCTAGACAAGAGCATCTACACGGGTACAGATAAGAGCTGGAAACACAGGAAATCCAGGACAGATAAGCCCCTCAGGACCAATAATCAGAGTAGCGATACCAGGAGGGTAAGGGGAAAGTGAGGGGAGAATGGGGACCCGATCACCATGATCTACACATAGCCCCCTCCCAGGGGGACAGACAACAGAAAAGTGGGTGAAGTGAGACAGCGATCAGTGTAAGACATGAAAAATATATATATAAACTATCAAGAGTTCATGAGAGAGGGAGGGCGGGGGTAAGGAAAAATGAGCTGATACCAAGGGCTCAAGTAGAAAGCAAATGTTTTGAGAATGATGATGGCAACAAATGTACAAATGTGCTTGACACAATGTATGGATGTATGGATTGTGATAAGAGCTGTATGAGCCCCAATGAAATGATTTAAAAATTAAATAAACGTGACATTGCACCATTTGTGTGTGTGTGCGTGCGCACCTACACATGCGTGTTCCATTTCACTTTTTTTAAACAGTGGTAGTAAGATATAATTAACATATAATATAATTCAATAGTTCAATCATAATAAGAAGATTTGTGCATTCATCACCACAATCCACTTTGGAACATTTTCTTCTTTCTTGTACCCATTGTTGTTAACTCCCTATTTCCCCTCAACCTCCCTTCCTTGCCCCAGGTACTTATTAGTCCTCTTGCTGTCTTCATAGAGCCACCCATCCTGAGTTACAGGAAAACATACAAAACAAAGACAAAACCCCCAAAAGGACCCAGCAACAATGGCCAAATAATATAGAGGAAAACCTCCGTCGAAAAGCAGAAAATATTCTTTAAAACAGAATAAATTCAGAAGGGCTCAAGAGAAAGCTCTAATGACAAGGTGTTGCATTCCAGCCTAACTACAGTGGCTAAAATCCACTTCACAATGCTCTTGGTCTAAAATTAAGGCCATTCACATTCTTAGACTATGGTCGGGAGGGATTCACTAGAGACAGTGTGTGCAAATGGATTTTTGGCTTCCCCCATCATCCATAACATTCTGCAAAATGGGTGTTTAAAATTTAGTCTCTAATACAATTCCCTCCTCTGGGTTTGGATTTTATCCTTTACAGCCTTTGGACCACACATGATAGTGGGCTTCTTCTATGTGGACTTAGGTGACTCTTCACTTAAATGGCTGCTTGTTTTAAGAAAGGTCTTTAAGACCCTCAACTCACCTCATGGTCAGTGTGTCCATACTGACTCATCGTGACCCTATCAAACAGAGTAAAACTGCCCCTGTGAGTTTCTGAGACTGTGACAGCTTATGGGAGTAGAAAACCTCATCATTCTCTCTCAGACCTGCTGGTGGTTGTGAACTGCCGAACCTTGTGGATCGCAGCCCAACATGTAACCACTAGGCCACCAGGGTTCTTAGATGCTATTTTTTCCTAATAGCTGGGCACCATCTTATTTCTTCACCACACTTTGCCATCGCACCCATATCTTCACTTACTTCCTCATGAGGGTAAGTACTAGAAAAACCCAAAATAAAATTTAGACAAAAATGAGGTTACCTTTCATCATCCTTTCTGTTTCTTGGACTGCCTTCCTCCAACTTCTCTCAAGAAAAATACAACCATCAAGGGAACTTCTGGCGACTTCAGAAGTCTTAAATTTCATGTCAGGAGATAGCACTGATATTCTTGGTTCTTCTTTCAATCGTTCTGATGAAAATGAGATGCTGATCCAGAGACAGGGCAGAAATAAAAGGAAAACAAGATATTTCAGACATAAACAATTTTTTCTAATTTAGTTTCCACATTGCAGTTTATATATTGTGATAGTTAAGGTTTACTGTGCCAACCTGGCCAATAAACACCTGTGGGGCTAATGGAAAGGCAGAGAACTAAAGGGCAGAGAGCTCAGTGAGCCTCACCTTTCTAGTTCTCAGGTCTCTTGCTCTCTGATGGTCAGACCAACATGCAGCTGCCTTAGCCAGTTCTCTGCTTCAGCTGGCAAGGCTCACTTCCTGTGAAACATCTCTGAGGAGAAGCCACACGGTCCTACCCCGATGCATCCCTGGGCGCTGGAGAAGTCAAGTGGAGACCCCTGCCAGCACTGAGATGCTTACATGCTCACTGATTCGGCTTTCCTCCTGCATTCGGCGTTATTTTGTGTGTTTTGTGAGTTTGAGGAGGGCTTTGTAGATTGGTGTTGGACATACAGGCTAATGTTGGACTTATGGGCTTGGACTGGACTGGGTTGGGATGTTTTCTTAATGTACACTTATCTTTTATATAAAACTCTCTCTTATATACATATGAGTTTCTGTGGATTTGTTTCTCTAGTCTACCCAGACTAACACAGATATTAACAGATTTAAAATAAAAGTTTGCTTATCACATGTAAACAAATAAATATTTTTAGGATTTTTAGGAGAGGCCTGTAATAATATGGCAAAAACAAAACCAAACAACAACAACAACAAAACCTGTAGTCAATATTTCTTTCCTTACTTTAAATATTTCAATGAATTAGGTAAGCCTATTGCCAAATAGGTATTTGGAAACAACACATTTAAAGTCCAGCAATATATTATCTCTGAGATCATAAGAATGGTTAGAGAACTGAGAAGAGACCTGCTGCCACCGAGAAAAAGGAGCAGGGAGTGAAGCAGTTCCTTTGAATGCGGGGCCCGTGTGCTGAGGACCTGCTAGACCCAATGGAAGCTTGATACCAAGACTCATATAGATCTTTAAGGAATGCCAGTCACATAGATGGTGAAGGAGACAAGGACCTTTCTCCAGAGTCAACAGAGAGAAACTCTCCCTGAAGAAATGCATGGAGGCCACATCTGACTTCCTCTGGCTACACAAAGGAGCAGGAGAATCCAACCTCACTCCAGGCCAAGTCTGATTGCCACAAGATCCGGCAGGTCTCCATCTTCCAGCCTTCTTTATCCTATTGTGATACCTATCATCCCTCCCATAGCACTTTCATTCTCTGCTGGGTTTGATAATTCTTTGCAATGGCCACACAGAACTCCTGGACAATATTCAGGATCACGGGGGTGGGGGCGGTTATTAAGAAAGCTAACAGGTTACAAGGAGTCCTAGTGGCATAGTGTGTACAAGTTACAACATGTTAAGGATACAGTTCTTTCATCTGCAATGCCTCCTCTCAGCCATACTGGCTGGCATATCTCTCCCTGGGTCCTTTGGCCTCTCCCCTGTTCCAGGGGCCAGGAAGCTCGCTGCTCTGCCTCATGGTCTTGGTGCTGCTGCTCCTCGGCTCAGTCTCATGGTCTCGGTGTGCAGTTTCTAGTACCTCTGCTGGCTCTGCCAAAAGTGACCAGCCCCTCTAATAGTGTTTCACAAACTCTATTTGCATGATCCCACTCAATCGTTCGGTGGGAGTTTCAAAGACATACACAGAGAAGGGAGTCATTACAAATAATTTCGCTTCACCACATTTCCCTATGGCTGATGCCCTAAATTCGGACTTCTAGTTTCCTAAACTGTGAGAGAATAAATTTCTGTTCATTGAAGACCCTGAAAACAATGCTTAGGATTGTTCCCTCAAAATCATTACCATTATAAAATGCATTTGTGTCTGAAAACAAATAAATAAATTCCAGGCCCTGTGGGAAATGAACATGTCCTCAAGAGAGCCATTGCTTTTCCTCTCAACATTGCCACACATCAAAATTTATCATGAATCAGTTTAGTTAATATATTAAAATATTTTTTTTAAATGAGTACGTGATACCGAGGGCTCAAGTAGAAAGAAAATGTTCTGAAAATGATGATGGCAACAGATATACAAACTCGCTTGACACAATGGATGGATGGATAGATTATGATAAGAACTGTACGAACCACCAATAAAATGATTAAAAATATATTAAAATATTAAATGTAACTCTGATTCTAATATTTGGTATTCTAACATTTATACATTAAATAGTTATTATGTACATCCCTAAACTCAAATTCTGGTAGTCCTTGACCTAAAATGATTATCAGAGTGACTATGAACTTGCACTTACGACCATGTTTTTTCATTTTCTTGTGTATGTATACATTAGTCATCTATAATGTATACAATGTTGCAGTGCATTATATAGTCATCATTCTTAGATTCTCACTCAGAGATATTCAAATATCAGACTTAGAAAGATTCTGATCATCAAGGGCAGTAATAATTGGGGGGGGGGAGCGATTCCATTAAATCAGAATTAAAAGAGTTGTTAGAGAACCCCATTTTAAGTACGGGCTGTCATCTGAGAGGGCTTCAGAGAGCACCTGGGAACATTCCATAAGCTCCTCATGTATGGAATCTCACTGCCATGCAGTAAATGCTAACTTAGAGCGACCCTATAGCACAGGGTAGAAGTGCCGGTTTCTGAAACCGTGACTTTGAGGAAGGAGAAAGCCCCGCCTTTCTCCTGTGGAGTAACTGGTGGTTTTGAACTACTGACCTTAGGGATAGCAGCCCAACACTCAACCACTACACCACATCCTTGGTGTGTATTACATAGAAGCTAACAAAAAGCCACAGGAAAAAGGAGGGAAGGAATCTAGTAGAAGGAAAAGGATGTCAGAAGATCACCAGGTAAGAAACAACATGATTCGTGTAATTAGTTGAATATAGCTGAGGGTTGTGTGTGTCGGGGGTGGGGATGTACAAAGAATGTTGGCATGTATGTGAGAGGAGAGGAAAACTGGGAGAGAGAATGAGAGAGAGAGAAGGCAGATGGCCAAGGGAGGAACAAGGAGAAGGAACCACCAAGGGAGCAGCAGAGAGGGGGGAGTACGGAGAGGTTTGCAGACTCCAAGGAAGACGACTCCTAAGGAGCTAGCTCTGGCAAACCCGGGAGAGGTCACCTATTGTGAACAAGAAATGCAGTAAGTCTATAGATTTAATGATGAGCTCCTGCGTCTGCTGTGAAACAACTATGTGGGGTTAACGGTAAGTATGGAGATCAGACAGTAATGGTTCATAGAGAAGGAAGGGTCTACAGCAGGTGAAGGGCATTCAAAAATAAGTCAAATACAGCAAGAGAAGAGAACACAGCTTTAGACCCTTGGATGTCTCCAGTGTGACCAGCCAAGTCCACCTGTGGCTCTGGCTCACACCCTTCTTCCCTGCAGAAGGGCTCAGAGGCTCTCACAGCTGCCTAGGATTCTCGAACATTGCCAGCACTCTTTCTAGTCTTGGGGATTAGCCTCCACTCATGCAATAAATAGAGTGGCTCCTTTTCTCTTGGATCTTTAAGACCCGCTTGTGGATTTTTTTCTTTTAGTACGCTTGTTGGAAAAGATGTGAGAAATCAAACAAGACAGCCACGAGGGCAACAATTCATGAAAATGATGAGAAACTAAATTACAATCCAGAGAAAACGGTCATTTCTGAAGTCGTAGAAGATCCTTAAACTCCTGATCTGATGTGTGCTTTCTAAAAGCGTCTTCCTTTCATTTTGTAAAGGGGATGATGCAAGGCAGGTTTTCCTCTTCCTCTTAGAAGCCCCACTCCCAGGACAGACGAGGCCATCAGGACTAACAATAAATGCCTCATAAATGCCAGTGGAGTTGGCATTCCTGCACATTCCTGATGGGTGCTGGACCAAGGAAGAGGCCTCTTGAGGACATTTTATCTAACCAGGTTAAGGGGAAGTTTTCTTAAAACTGACATTTTTCGAAAGCACAAATGATAAATGCATGAGGGGTCCTCATGTTATTCTCTGAAGTTTTGTGTTTGAATTCTTGCACAATAAAAATAAAAATAAATAATTTTTAAAAAGCCCACAGCTAATAAAATGTGTAACTTAAGGAAGGAGTTGAGATCATGAAAAGCCCAATTATTTTTATCTTATAGTCCCTGAACTCATGATCACGGCCTAATCCTAGTGGGAAGAGAAAAATTAAGGGAACTTTATAGGGCTAATAAAAGATGCTATCTAAAATAAAATGAAAGGAACAACAAGCTATGGAGTAGGAGATGAGAAAATATACAAAATATATGTGTATGGGGGCAGGTAATAAATAACTCACTCAAAACAAATGCTTTCTAGACTTTACAGGAAAGAGAATGGGTTGAAATAAACTAATAATTTGAAACTATTATCCATAAGACCATAATTTCATGGTGTCCACAAACATAGGCCTTAAGTAGAAAATATTTTTGTACTAAGTATATTCTACATATTTATTTTTTTACTGCCTAGTTTAGACCTAGAATAAAATATTAAATGTTTGTCTACTTATTCGTTATTTATCATTCTATCCATCCATTTAACCAAAATCTGTTGAATGTTAACCATACATTAGGCATTGAGGATGCAGCCATGAACCAAACCAGAAAAGGGAGTCTGTTCTCTTGAAGCTTAGCTGGGGAAGTCGGACAATAAGTAAGCAAATAAGTTAACCAAGCTTATTTCAGATAAATAGAACTAGAATGAAAGTAGTTCACCATGGTGACGGGCTGAGAACTGGAAGGACTTTCGAGTGCGGGGAGCTCACGGAGGACTCATGTGCGTTGATCTTGAGCTGAGATCTGAGTGGGCAGACATGACAGTATCTGCAGACGCTCTACAGAAGCGTATTCTCCACACGACGCACAAAAGACCCACAGCCCCAATGAGCTCAGTGTGTTCCAGGCAGGGCTTGAGACAGTTCATTTCAATTCAATCCCCTGCTAAGCATTTTAGTTTCTACCCCAGATATACTGAACCAAACTCTATAGCTCAATAAGATCCCAGGTGATCTTATACATTCTCAGGTAATTCAGTTATGCATAAGAATCCCACTGGAAATGCATAAGAATACCTCGGTGATCTTGTTAAACTGTAAGTGGACTCAGTACATCTGGGAAGGCAATATAGGTTCTCAGCAGGGGGTCAGACCAGCCAGAACCACTTTGAAACTCTGATTTTAAAGCAGAGAAAGATTTGAGTGTCAACACCTGTGCTGTTCAGGACAGCAGCCACTGGCCACGCATAACTATTGAGCCCTTGAAATATGACTACTGTCAATTGAGATTTACATAGGTATGAAACTCAATTTCACAGACTCAGTTTGAAAAAAGGTAGTAGCAATACCTAGACAGAGAACTGCCAGAAATCCAAGCCAGAATCAGAAAAGGACATGGAAAATCAGATTACCTTGACTGATGTCCAATGGATCTTGGCTAAAGCAGAGAATACTATAACGGAGTTTATCTGCATTTCCTGCTCCATTCAAGAATCCTTAAAGCCTACTTTTATCATTAAACAACATTCGGTATAGATCTCCATTAAAAATGCAGGGAATTGTTCCCACTTTCTTAACTTTACCTATGCAGTGCACAACTTTCTGCAACCTTTTTTTTTTTACAAGATTGTTCATTTGAACTGTTGTTGTTGTTATTGGGTGCCATCAAGTTGGCTCTAACCCACGGTGACCCCACGCCCAACAGAAAGAAACACTACACGGTCTTCTGGCGTGCACACAATTGTTCCTTTGCCCCTGAGCACGTGGACACAGCCACTGTCAATCCATCTCCTTGAGGACCCTCCTCCTTTTCATCGTCCTTCCTCTTTCCCGAAGATACTGTCCTTCTCCAGGGACTGATCTCTCCTGACAATATGTCCACAATATTAAGGCAAGTCTTGCCATCCTCGTCTCTGAGGAGAACTCCTCTGGCTTTACTTCTTCCCATACAGATCGGTTTGTCCTTTTGGCAGTCCACGGTACTCTCAACAATCTTCTCCAGCGCCACAATTCCCATGCATAGACGATGCTTCCGCCTTCCTGATTCGCTGTGCAACTTTGACATGCACGGGATGTAATGGAGAATACCATGGCTTGGGCCAGGCGTAATTTAACCTCCTTGTTCTTCAACACTTTAAAGAGTTCTTGTGCAGCAGATCTACCCATCATTTGATCTCTTGACTGCTGCTTCCATGAGCACTGATCGTGGATCCAAGAAAGACAAAATCCTTGGCAACTTCAAACTTTTCTCCATCTATTGGTCCAGTTGTGAGGATTTTAATCTTCTTTACATTGAGTTGCAATCCACACTGAAGTCTACAATCCTTGATCTTCAGCAGCAAGTGCTTCAATTCGGTTGCCCCCATCATACAAATTATATGTTTATGCATTCCCCTACACGTGGTCAAGAGAATTGCTTCTGATTTTCCAAGGATTCAAAGAATGCCAGTTAGTGTCCTTGTATAGCTCTTTATATATGTGTGTGCTGGAGTTTCTCTGCAGTCAGTACATTCCTAG